AGATTTCCCTCACCAAGCACCTCTCTGGTGCTCCACTCTGCTCTGCCTGTGCACATCCAGTTCCAAGGGAGCAGCTTGGGAAGGGGGCCAGCAAACACGGGGGTGGGCAGGACCCCCTGCATGCTTCTCTGGAAGGAAAACAGGTGTGTTGCAGGCAGACACATTGCACATCCACATGTCTTCCTCATTTCAGGCACCTCTTTCACTCAGCTGTTTGAGGTCAGCACAAAGACAAGCCATGAGGATGGCTGCCTCGAAGTCAAAGTTTCCCCAAATTTGCGTGCACATGCAGCAGAGATTTTGTAAGAAATGCTGAAGAGCACCTCCTGGCCATGTAACATGCTCACAAAGCTTCTCATGACTCTGGTTAAAAGGGACTAGTGACCAGCATCTGGTTCAGAGTCACAGGGTTTCAGGCATATGGAATGAACAGTGCTCAGCAATTCACCCTCTTGCAAAATCCAGCACTGACCACTTCTGCTAAGCCCACAATTTCCTTTTGAGCAATAATTTTGTTGTGTTGATTTTGAGATTTCCAGCAACGGAGAACCTACTGTGCACCAGCTACCCTAGGTGGCTGTTCACAGTGGTCTGCAGCCCTCACCAGTTAAACCAGGAGGGCATCAGACTGACTGAACACATCTGGCCTCTGCCCCACATCACTGGATGTGGTTTGGTTTTCCCAGTGGGACTGAAGTGTTGTTCACCCCTTGGAAAGTCTTTGCATCCACCTCATCCAGGTCAGCTCCTTCTTTTCTGAATTTCAGTGCTGCTTTAGGCACGGCTGTGTCTCATCATCCACAGTGGACAAGAACAGCTGTGCTCTGTTCCCTGCTCTGATGCCCCTGATTCCCCTCAAGGCCACATTACACAAAAAAATTGAGAGCCACATCAGGGCCAGGAAAGGCCAAATCAACATCTGCTGGACAAGCTTCTCTCAAAGAAATCACAGTGAGGGTGTGGGACAGACACACACGACCAGTGGATGTTATTATCTGGGTGTATTTTTATTAAGACTCAATATCACATGCTCCCATAATCTCCACTGGCCCCCAGAACACACATTTTTGATGATGCTGGTAGTGCCAGCAGCCTGGGATCTCAGTTCCAGTCATCCTGCCTTCTTGTGGCCCCATGGGTAGAGACAGGTCATCTGTCCCCAGATCACCTCATCCTTTCAGCCAGAGGCTGCTTTAAGCCTGGGGACAGCCACTTTAATGGCATTCAGGTCCACTGTGCAACTTGTTCTCCCCAGGAGATTCAGATCCCTGGAGACACTCTGGGCAACTGAGGTGCCCCATGGTGGAAATGTAGGGGGTGTGGAAAGCCAGGATATGCCTTGTCCTCAAGTCAAACCCCAGATAAGCAGGTTGTTGCACACCTGTGAAAACCCACCACCAAGCACTGGTAAACCCAAACCCCTTAGGAGCCTTTTGCATAACTCAGTGACCAACAAACTGCTGACCTCACCCCCATTTCCATCTTGGACATCCCTGTGGCCACTCTATCTCTGCTCGTTATCTCCCCAGGGTTTTCTGACGGAAGTCAAGCCTCCTCCCCAGCATTCTGTGCCATCAGAGAAGCCACTGTGCCTTTCAGCTGCCAATTTCACGCAAATCTTTGATTTGCCAGCGCCTGCCAGGTGGGACACGGCAGGATCCCTGAGCAGTGCAAGAGCCGCAGGGATGATCCACACAATGCCTGAGCTGCAACCGGATCTGGAGGGAGAACTTTAGCCTGTGAGATCTGACACGCTCACAACAAACCCAGCTGGCTGGCACACACACCAAGCCCAAAACACCCCAGGCCACCCCCCTCCCACCCTTCTGATACCATCACACCCCTCAGCAGTTAATTAAAAAAGGATTAAAGCAAGGCTGTAAGGACGTGGGCGATGCTGAGGTCAAGGGGTGCCTTGCAAACCTACGCCAAGCCCCGCAGCTGCTGTTGGGACAGGGGGCTGCCTGCTGGTGACTTCAGCTTCTCCAAGAATAAAGCAGGTCTAATCCAAGACCCAGGCAACCTATCTGGGCTGCTTGCCTATGGAAGTGCTGCTCTGTACAGAGAGCTGCAGGGCAAGGATTGGGATCAGGGATGTGGGAGCGTGCAGGGTAAGAGAGCAAGCAGTTATGGCTTGTTTGCCAGTGCTTCCATGCTGTCCTGCTCGCCCTTCCAGAGCTCATACCTTTATCCCACATGAGCCATGTGCACATATCCCAACCTTGGCAGTGAGGTTCATCTCATGCAAGCAGCTCTGTCACAACAGTACAGGCTGTTCCTACCCGCTCCCTGTTTCCGAAAATATTAATGTTTCACCAGGGCAGCGCTCAGAGGCTTTTTCCAGCCAGAGTGATGCCAGGTAGATAGGTCCTTCCCACATCCAGCCTCATAGAAAGCCCTGGGAATATGTGTGTGGATGAGGCACAATGCCAAAGAGTCCTTCATCTTACCTGGCTGAGATGCCATGATCATGGATGGCTGAAGTCACCTCTGTATGGGGATTAACCCTGGACATAAAGCTTCAGTATCACTGAGTTACATCTTCAAGGGGGGACATATTTTCACAAGGAGGTGGAAAATACCCTGGCTGACTCTGAGGACACTCCTATCCTGTTCAAAGGTCTTTGGGAACAGACTCCATGACCTGGGAATCTCCCACATGGAGAGAAGCAGAAGACAAAGCTCAGCAGGAAGGGTAGGGGCAAATAGAGATACTGTGGAAGATGAAATTTGCTGGCACAGAAACAAGGCAACAGGTCCAGGTCTGAAACTCACCCCTGAGTGAATGGGACATGATGTATGGTGGCAGCAGAAGAGATGTCTCAGGCTTGCGATGGACTGCATCAACATTCCTGTTGGGAACCCTCTCAGCTAGTAATCACTGCATGGGCAACTGACCTGCAAGACACAAGTTGGCTCCTCAGCAGCAGATCCATGTCCCACCCAAGTCTATAACATGGGGTCAGTCCCTGCAGGGAAGACAGGTGAGTCCATGGCACATTAAGTGCTTCTCACTTCACCCAAACCACTCTCACATCCCCCAATGCATTTTGCTTCAGCCCCAAACTCACCTCCTTCAGAGTGGCTTGGCCATAACAAGCTTGAAGAGCTCAATAAAGTTCTTAATGGTCTTTTTACCTCTTTCTTCTATGAAATCATTGCCTTTCCTTCCATCTGCTAAGGGACTCCTGCTCCTTAGAGCCAGCTGCTCCATGCAGGACCTGACCATTTTTTATGTCCTAAGTGCTCCCAGTCATAGAACCACAGAATGCTTTGGGTGGGAAGGAACCTTCAAGATCATCTCATTCCAAACCCCTGCCATGGGCAGGGACATTTTGCACTAGACCAGGTTGCTCATGGCTCCATCCAGTCAGGCCTGGAACAGTTCCAGGGATGGGGCAGCCACAGCTTCTCTGAACTACCTGTGTCAGTCCCAGTGACCTCAGTAATTGCTGCTGTCCTCTAACCAACCCATCCTACTGTCACCCAGCCTTGAAAAGTTTCCTCCCTCATTACCTTGCACTTGCCAGAGAAGGCTGATTCATCCACTCTGCCTCAGGCATCCCACTCAGCCACTGATGATTGAGTTACTTAACAATTAAGCAGAGCCTTAAATCTTTGCAGCACTTAACATGTATTGACTAATTAATCCAAGCCTTATCTGAGGTAGGTTAGTTCAGTCTTGTGTGTAGCTTCCAAACATGCCCACGGCTGCCTCACTGGTCAAAGGCAGAAGCAGCTCTGCAGAGATGATGGGAGGTCCATCATCCCCACTGCCCACCCTTCAAAGAGGGACCCATGTAGCACTGCCCTTCTGTGCTGTGACTTCAGAGATCACTGTGCCAGGGGACCATGTCCCCAGGACTCCTGCCAAGCTTGCCCTCGAATGGCCTTTGCTCCTGCATCTTCTCTGGCCCTCCATGATTGCTTCATTCCCTGCTGTCCCACCCATTGGGCTCTGGGCACAGCCACCAGCTGAAGCCAGCTTGCTTGGACAAGCAACAAGTCACCTGAGGCTCTGCCAGACCTGGAGTGCAGGTGGGATAAACCTTCCCCTGGGGTCTGGCTGGCAGCCATCCATGAATTCTGCTGATGCAGGAGAACAAACCTGGCTTAGGACGGTGACAGGTGAGCACAGCACATTGCCCTGCTGCCTCCTGCTGAAGTGACACCCAGGGGAGCCAGGCCTCCCCCTCAGACCATTCACGGGGACTGTCTCAGCCACATCAAACCCCACATTCCAGTCTCGCTGTCAGCAGGGAACAAGGCCAGGTGTGGGAGGCAGGGAACCCATTCCCTGCATGGATGAGCTGCACAGGAGCTTTGTGCAGATGAGTGGGATGGGGAGGTGCAGGGACACACCCAGGGTTATGCAGAGAGTCCGTGGCAGAGGTCAGTGCCTCAGTGACTCTGAGCCCTGGGCTTTGGGAGAGGGAAAGGGAGGGGATTTGCAGCAGCTAAAGCCAGGGAGTTGGGGACATGAGCTGGGATCCCAGCCACACAAGCCTTGGATCCTGATCCTGAAATCATCTCATTTTCCTCCAGTGCAATCACTCTAGTTCCAGGACTAAAGGAAAATGCCATGTTCCTTGTGCCCCACAGATTCCCAACCATTAGCTAAGACCAAGGCAGACATCAAAACTCTTGCCATGCCATAAGCCTCTTGCACTGGAGCACAAGATCCCCCCCAGCAAAACAGAGACCCATAGATACAAGATTCTCTTTGACATAACACTGACACCAAAATGTTTCAGCCCACCTGAGTCCTCTGAACACCTCTTGCCCTTTTTCTGCCTGTCACCCCAGGGTTTCAGCTCAGTGATACACAGCCTGATAGGCAGGTGGTGTGCCTTGAGAGATGCTTGATGTGAAGGGCATGGCAGAAGAAAGGGACTTTGTCTACCTGGGGAGCCATGGAGCAGCCAGGTGGAAGAGAGTTTAATCCAAACCACCTCGCTCAGGAAAGCCAGGATCAGTGGAGTCAGGATCTGCACAGCCCCTATGGAGCCTGTAACAGCAAGGTGCTGGTCTGAGTCAAAAGGCATCAGCCTGCAGGTTATAAAGGCATCTCTGCTGCTTGCAAGAGTGCCCTTCACATGCCCTCCACCTCATGTGGCTAAGGATGGGTTCCTGCCTACCCCATGGATATTACCACTATTTGCTTGCTTGTTAATACAACTAACAACAGCAAATACAGAGGAGAAACTCCTCTCCTGATGAAATTCACCCCAGAAAATCCTGAGTAGTAAAGCAGAGCAACTTGTGGACCAACAATTTTCCTCTGGGTCTTAAACCATCACATATATTTTTTTTTTTTCCTTGACTGAATATGTGCTGATCTCATTCATCCTGGGAAAAGCACGGGGTGTTCTCATCCCGGCTATACCTGGCAAGCTGCACACACTGTGACAGAGAGAGCGAACTTCTGATCAGGCTCTGCAGTGGCTGCTGCCCAGCTTCTTGTGGCTCTTTCCTGGAGCGAGAGGCCGGCTTCTTCACCTGGCATTCCTGGGAGAGATGAAGGGTAAGTCAGCAAATCAGCTTCATGCATTGCAGACATCCTCTGCTTTCAGCCATAGCAGAATTAGCTCAGGTCGGGATTTGCTGGTAGCTGGGCAGAAAAACATCAACAGGGCTTTCCACCCGTCCCCCCACCCCCACCCCCCCCCCTCCATCTCCTTTGGAGGGAAAAGGCAAGAAAATGTTTTTAACGCGCTGCGTGGAGGCAGGTTGCGGGAGCCGTGGTCCCCGGCACGGCTCAGCAAGCGCTGCCGGGGAAATCAACAGGGAACGTTCCTGATGCTATTTTAGACACCGGCAGAAAACGCCAGCTAGCAACACCGAGTTGGACGGGGCTGCGCAAAGCCCGGAGCAGCGGCGGCGGCGCGGAGCGCAGGGACCCGCTCCCGCCGGTGTGTGGGCTGTCAGTCGGTTTGCTGACGAGCTTGCCAACCACGACGTTGCTTTGACATGTCAGCCGGCGAGCCGGCGTCTGGATGCCTCGGTGTCATGCGGGCAGCTCCGTCTGAGCCCTGCGGAGAGCAGCTTAGATCCGCTGGCCGGGGTTAAAAATGAGCCGCTGTTAAGCTGCTGAAAGGGATCCGCGCTGCCGCCAACGTGAGTGCTCCGCGCTGCCAGCGCAGGTGGAAGTGCATGCCTGAATCCAAGGGGGGATGCAGCTCTCGCCGGGTGACTGCCGGCTCCATCGGGAACGTCCTGGCTTGCTTGTCTGGGAGAAGATGGAAAGAGGGCATCTTAAGGGATTGCTGCAGCCAGTGGTGCTGCTGAAGGCAGTGTGTGAGATTAAAGGTGGTATCTGAGCATAAAGATACCACAAACTTATTTAGGAATAATGAATATAGAAAGGCTGGCTGCTGCAGGAAATGTCCCCTTCGTAAATCGGGCTGTTTGGAGCAAAAAAGAGCAATTATGTGCATTCTGCTGCAGCTCATTGTGGTTGGGTTAATTTAGGAAAAGGATGCTTGCTGGCAGCTAAAGGAAGCAGCAAGGAAGCAGCCTGGCAGAGGGGTCAAAATGCAGAATTACCAGACCAGGCTGCTGTTTTGAAATGGCACAATATTCCCAAGGCAGGGGAACATTGTTTGGTATGATTTATCTTCTGAGATAGTCAGGAGCAGGGAGACCTTAGCTTAGAGGGCTACTCTTAATATTTTTTTTTTAAATTTTAAAATATTTTCAGACAGACCCTGTTTTGCAAAGCCCTGACACCACAATGACAGGCACTGCTGATACCAGCTGTCCTGCCTGCCATCTGAATGCCAGGCCTTCCCAGAAATGCTGCTTGTGAAAGATCCATCACAGGGAAGTTTTTAACGCCCCAGTTTTGTGTGTGGGTGTGAAAGTGCATCTGTGTTTGAGGAGAAGAGACATGAACTGCTCATTGTACCCTAAACCTAGCTGTGCAGCCAACCAGTTGTTGTGATGATGAGTGTTAGGCAGGGCTGTGCTTTTAAAAGGACAGCCTGGCTGGGTTTAACATGGTGATCCCTCCTGGAGCTTTCAGCGCTCGTGGTCTTGAGCATCTCGTAGATACAACGGGTGCCTGTTCCTCAAAAGCTGGTGTCGAATGCCTGGTGCTCCCACAGGACCTCCTGCATGGACACAGCAGGGACACAAGGTCTGAGCTGATTCACATAGTGAAAATGCCATGGAGGACAACTTGGCAGGGTTGATTTGGATAGGATGGGGATTGGAAAGGCAGGCAAATAGCACTGAATCTTCCTGAAGAGAAAGTGGCCGGGGATCAAAAGGGAGAGATGGCATTGGTGTGTGCTGGGACAGGTCTGGAATGTGAAGGGGACAAGGGTTTGTGATGGCAGGGAGTGCTCCCTGGGCACTAACCCATCACTGTCTGTACTTGTGAGCAATGCACAAAGCCACAATTGAGAGATATTGTGTGTTTGCAAGAAAAGGGGAATATGCTCCTTCCTCATTTCTCTATTATACGTTACATTGCAAACTGTGCCTCAGCTCTCGTTCCATAGGGAAAAGAGCAGTTCCTGTGAAGGGTTATTTTTTTAAAAGCAGTAGCACAAGGAACCTAAAGCACAACCTTCCTCTGACATAACCTTACTCTGGTCTCATTCCCAGTGGCTGCTTCAGGACTGACCAGAACCAAACCATTCAGCAGTGTAAAAGCACATCCTCTGCAGAAGCAGCAGCCTGTCTTGGAGGGCTACTTCATTTAAATTCATTAAATTTACTGTTTGTATTATTTTGTTTAATGCTGTTGAGGAAAAAGGGCCCTCTCTACTGAACATTCCTATTAAAACATGCCTATTAAACCTCACCCCATGAAATCTCAGGGGCTGGCTGGTGATAGTGGCAGTCCTGCTGATGGTTCTAGTCTTGAAGGTTATAGGAACCAAGCATAGACCACCATTGCTGTTGTCAAAGGCTAGGGGTCTGCTGGTATGAGAACAAGAACAATGAGGGAGGGAGGCTTTATAGCTCTCCAGCTGGCAGGAGATATTCCAGATGTCTTTTTCCTTCCCCCTTCATCTAAGGTGAAAAAGGAGATTGAGTGAAGGCTGTCCCTTCATGGCTTGTTGACAGTTTGTTAGGCAGAGATTGGAAGGAGGCTCCAGTTAACACCTGGGCATTCCTGTACTTTAGTTCTTCCAGCAACTAATGCTGGTTCATAATCTGTGTTTTCAGAAACCTCTCCATCCACTTCTGAAGCACAGTCACTGTTTTGCTCAGCAGGGATCAGAATCCTGGTTATCAATTGCTATTGACATGGGCATAGCATTTTATCCTTCCCACCTTCCCACCATGAAAAGATGAAGCCCCATCAGCAAAGTGATCCAGACTGCCCTGTTCTCCTGGGGTGACATCCACAGGATGCCTTTCTCTGCCATGGAACCCTGTGTCAGTGCAAGCTGCTCTGAGAACAATGACCCAGACCCAAAACTGGGTGAAAGCAAGGGCCTCCAACACCCCAGAGCAAGGGAATTGTATCACATGCACAGCAAACACTTTGCCAGTGGCTGCACCATATACTGAAGCAACCACACAGCCTGCAGCCCTGATACCAAACCACTGACCTGAACAGCAGCCAGATCATTTTTCTTATGAGAATGCACCATTCTTGAGCAATTTTTCCAGCACATCCCACGCAAACAGGTTTTTTGTGAACACTGCACGGCAGCATTTACCATCTCATGCCAGCTCTTGTTTTTCTCTAATGGCAGGGGTTGGGAGAGCTCTCACGTATCACTGGTGTGTCTGTGCTGGTGGGCACAGAGTCTGAGGGGAATCCTCATGGAAAATTGAGCACTAAACCATTTCACATCACCAGTTCTGCTGAAGCCAGTATTACAGGATGGTTTGGGTTGGAAGAGATCTTAAAGATCATCTATTTCCAATCTTAAGTTAGACAAGGTCACACCTTTCTGCAGAAATCTGGGATCCTGGACCTTGCACATACATACTAGCCTAATAACACATTCTTCATCTTCTTATAACTGCAACAGCCTTTCCAGGAAGGCACGTTGTCTCTTCCCATCTGGCATGCAGGGGCTGCAGAAGCAGTGTTGATTCTTCAACACTGACACTAACTCCTGTTGTTTGATATGTTATGCTAAATTAGCTGAATTCTTGGTGGTAAAAAGAAAATGCGGAGGGAAATGGATAGTGTCTGTATAATCTCTTTTATAGCCCCATGTATTTATTTTGAGCCCACTCTGACCTGAAGTTTAAGCTACTATTGCAGCAAGGAGATTTTAAGGCATAGTTTTGGCCCAATTTATCAACTTCCATTGCACAACAGTACCTCAGGGCAGCCAAGGTGTATCACCAGATACATTCACTGGGCTTCTTAGTGGTGAGTGATGGCCATGTGCTATTTGTTCATAACTAAGTGAAAGAAATGGCCAAAATCCCTCTCTTCCCACATAGCAGAGATGGAGGGATGTTTCTACAGGAGCAGCTCTGTTCCTTGGCAGCCACCACATTTTGATCAAAGCTTGCAATCTCCTCATGTCCTTCATTTCTGTATGCAGGAGGGAGGAAGAAGCAATAGCAGCCATGCTTCTCCTACTTGTCTGGCCCTGGTAACCCATACGCTGTTCTGATGGGAAGAGCAGGGCACAAAAGCTACTTATCCAAGATTATCTAATTAACATTTCCCATGTTGTTTCATTTGGTAAAAGACTGATACTCTATTTCTCTCCCTTGATCACCCTGAAAAGTCTATTAATTTTAACCTAGCAAAAAATGATTGGTGGATATAAAATTTGACCCTCAAACAAACAAAAAAAAAAATCAGAAATTGAGTATTTTCCTTTATTTGTAATGCAACACACTAAATAATGTTCAGAAGTGCCAAATGCCCAGGGAAAAGCATTTCATCATATAATTTTGAGAGAGGGAAGAAGCAAGCCCAATAGTCATGGATTCAGTGGATAGAGTGGATTGAGCCCTGTCCCTGTCAGTCTGATCAACCACCCATGTTCCCTTGCACTTGTCCTGTCAAACCTACCTGAGAGTATTTGAGGTAGTTCTTACCTAATTGTCAGGCACAGAAGAAACTTTTGTCTGGGATCACAACTGTGCCATTAGCTGGGAATTCCTGGGGTTTATTCCTGTGTTCACAAACTTCAAGCAAGTAGCTGTTGGGAGAGGGAGAGAATGAGCTGGGTGTCAGCCTTGCCATTGTCAGAGGATTCAGTGTGCTTTGGAAGAGAGGCAAGAGACTTTAGGAAAACAATTCTCATATACACAAGTCTACAGAGAAAGCAGTGATCAGCACACAAAGCAAAACACAGCTTAACTTTAGCAACCTACAAAATTCACAGCAGTGTTGCTGCACAGGGGGGCTTGGCATGATATGTGAAAATGTTAAGTGGCCCCAAGAGTGAGAAGGCATGGACAACTGCCAGAATAATTATGCAGTTCTCATCTGAGCAGTGAGCTGCGTTAGGCTGCAGAGCAATCTGTAATTGGGAAGTTTGGCAGTGATGACAGAGATGTCCCTGGCATCCATTTTTGACCAGTCTATTG